AAGAGCGGATGCCTTTGAACTGTGGTGCCAGCAAAGGGAATTCCATATCCCCTGGGCTGCCAAAAGGACGCACCTTGGCTTGGAGCGTGCGCAACCCTGTGCTCCTTCGAGGCGTGGATGGTGAAACTTTGGCTCATATACTGTGGGCATGTTGTGGGGGGGCCAGTCCTTTAAAAAAGGTATCCTGGGGAAAGTAGAGAGTCACTGAAAGAGAAGACGCTCAGCCAGGTGGACGGTACAGTGACAGAAACCCTTGGCTCGAGATCTGCAGAGACCACGCTTATGGCCAGGACAGAGCCAGGCTTTCGTCCGTTGCTCATCGAGTGGCTATGAATTGTAGTCTTGACGGGAACTGACAACGACAAGAGCTCGAGGACTCGATGAGAGCTTAGGAACCATGTGTTACCAAGTTGGTAATCTTTTCCAAAAGCAGTTCCTGCAGGTCTGTGACGCTGGTTACCAGCCGCATGACAGTACCGCCCGCACTTCCTTCCTCTGTTTCCTGTTTCTGTTCATCGTCCTCTTCCTCTTCTTAACCTCCAGAGCTTTCTCCCTGGGCTGCCCTATTGATGCTGTGTGGCTGGTTGTTCTAAGGTATATGTGTTTCCTGGGCGTTACTGACCATCTTACAGTCTCGTCTGTTGTTTGGCTGCAAATTGAGTCACTAGAGTGATTTCAGTTGAGGTTTAAAGGGTGACTAAGGAAGGGCCTCAGGGATCCCCTCAGACTTTGTCAGACTGGTCCGTCTGGCCTTTTTCATTCTAAGTGTGAATTTTGGTCTCCATTTTTCTCGTACTCTACCAGGCACCTTTTATTGCGATCCTTGTCAGAGCCAGCAGGAGCGGGGCGCTGTCAGGTCCTTCTGGTCTCAGGGTCCTGGAGAGTGCAGTTCACATGGTCCCCGGTCCTTTGGACGAGAGTCTGATTGGCTTCGCTCCTCTTTGCTCTGCACAGAGATTGGTTGTCCGTTAGTCCATTGATGGTCTTACTGACGCTCATCTTGAGGTACTTTGACACCAGCTTCCCTGATGTTGCGCCTGAGTGTCTAATCACAGAGTGTTAGACTATATGTCATTTTCTATTCTTGCCTGAGACGTTTCATTCTCTGCAGGCTCCGCAGCCTGGCTGGCGGCCCCAGCTCCTCTCCTGAGCTCTGCTTCCTGAGATGCACAGCCGTTTGGCCAGGAGCAGCGGGAGCTCAGGCCCGTCCTGCAGGGTGATGTGCAGTGTCTCTGGGGGACTTTGTGCAGAGGTCATCCCAGGGCTTGGCACCATGTGTGGGGCGTGTGCCGTGAGGCCAGGAAAGCACAGGGAAGGTAGGTGTGCACTTCGGGTGCACCTGCTCTCTTTCAGAGCTGAGAACCCTGCCCTGTCTCTCCCCAGACTTCTCCAGTTCTCTGTTCTGAAGCAGTCCTATTGCTCCAGTTCTCCTCGAAGCAGTTCTGTCCAAGCTCTTTAAGTTCTTCCTCCAGATTACATGTACTGTGTGCCAGGGCATTCTCAGACTTGGGGGATACAAAGATAAACTGTAAGTGCTGTGCTGGTTAGAGGAGGTGGGGAGACAGGACTCACGTATCGTCCTCTCTATGGGAGACGTTGTTGCTGAGTATCGTTGAATTGGAACTGATCTGTAGCTCACCCTCTGGCAGGTTTTCAGAGGCAGTTAATGGCATGGGAGTAGATTGCCTGTCCTTCTCCCATAGAGCAGCTGGTGGGTGACACTAACTTTCAAGACAGCAGAAGAGTCCGCCAGGTGCAGGTGAGGCAGTACTTGCTAAACAGGAGAACCGTGAGCTGAGGGGGTATCTGAAACTGCCTTGTCCTCTACTGTGTCGGCGTGCACCCAGCTTGATTGGTTGGGACATGGGTGCAGAGGGAACCTGGAGAAACTGACGAAGACTGTCTCCAGCTGCTCAGGGGATCTTGAGGGCTGGAATGAGGAGGTTTCAGTTCATACTGTGATCCCTCAGGATAGTGAAGGGACTTCATGAGATGACAGCTTTCTGTAACAGAGTCACTGAATGGTGCAAAATTTAACACACCTGACTGTTAACAGGAAGGTTGCAGGTTCAGATCTCATCCCAGGGACATCTTGGAAGAAAGTCCTGGAAACTGCCTCCCTGAACACTCTCCTTTCCTGGCACGCATGGCTCCCACTTGCCAGCCATTAGTTTACTGACTTCATGGTCAAAGTGCCAGACCTGAGGATAGAGGTCACTGTTGTCCAAATGGGAAGGGCTGAAGTGACGGGGCGGCTGGTGTACAGGGGACAGGCGAGTTTGAAGAGCCATCACCTTGGCCCCGTCCTCCCAGCTGCAAGCCTGGAGTGCAGCCTATGAGCTGTAATGCAGCATCACCTCCTCCAAGCAGTCTTCCCTCTGACCGCAGCATGGGCTCAGGCCTGGAACCAATCATGATGATGGTAATATTCTGGGCAGTGCTTCGTCGTGGGTCAGCACAAGTCAGAACTGACCAGTACAGCAGCGAGTGCAGAGTGACTGCAGCTACCTCAGGAACACCTAGCGTTCGTGGGGACGTGCCTGCCTGTCGTCAGCAGCGTTCTCTGCACAGTAGTCACGTTGACCAGAAGCAGGTGTCTGAGCACGTGAACTTGGATGGCGGCGGTCCAGCTCAGCCACTTATTAGCCATGTCACCTTGGCTGAGGTGTCAGTGAGTCTGAGAGTTAAGTGTGCTTGGCATACAGACAGCAAGCCAGAAACGGTCACTGTCGCCTCCCCAGACGGCAGGTTTCCATCCCTCGGGACCTGCCTGTGAGGGGTGGGTGCTGTCCTGTTTCACAGCTGGTGAGACGGGCCTCAGGCCGACTGGGTGCTTCATCCTGCTGCCCCAGCACGTGCCATCCTGGCTCCTCTGTCGTCTGTCCCTGACCGTCTTAAAAATATAGCACTTCTTAATGAGAATGCAAGAATGAATGGTGCGCTCCAGGGCCAGATTGGAGAGGCGTTTAGAAGTTGTCATCTGCTCGAGGGTGGGAGTTGAAGCTGTTTGTTTTCCTTTATGTAATATTTATTATGGGGCAAATACACACAACAACATAAGCTGTTTCCTTAGCTTCTCCCTGTGCGATTCAGAGACATTGATGACATTTGTCGTGGTGTGCACTGTCCCCTCCAAGTCATTTCACCATGCTAGTTGTGGTTTTGGAGAAAAGTGCTGAACATCCCATGGACTGCCAAGAGAATAACAGATACGTCTTAGAGCAGGTGCAGCCAGGGCGCTCCTCGGAGGCAGAGATGATAACGTGTCATCTCACATACTTCGGGCATGTAGCGAGTGGAGGTTGTTCCTTAGAGAAGGACGTCACGCTTGGAAAGGTGGAGGGTCAGCAAAAGAGAGAACGATCTCAGCCAGATGGATTGACACAGTGACTGCAGCAGTGAGCTTGAGTGTCGCAGATGATGAGGATGGCGCAGGCGAGGACAGTGATCACATCTGTTCTTCACAGGGTGACTGTGAGTAGTGCTTGACTTGATAGCACCTAGCAATAATAATAAACCTGCAAGGGAAACTCAGTGCCTGCTCCCAGCCTCCACCCGTAAAGCTTGGTCTCGGTATATTTTTCCGTTTTGTATGTTGTTGTTAGGTGCTGTCGAGTTGAGTACAACCCATAGTGATCATCGATGAACGAAAGATCTGAACCCTGTTCTATCCTGTGCTGTCTCCGTCAGCTCTGACATACTTGGGCTCATTGCCGCAGTCTCTACCTGGTTGAGGGTCTTCCCCTGTTCCGCCGGCCCTCTGCCTTTCTGACCATGATAGCCCGCTTCAGGACATGTCTGTTTTGTACAAGTGGGATCATCTATCTTTTGTCTTGTAGGATAATTAGCTTCAACAGTTACACAAGCCTCTTATTGGTACGTTGTACGTGCATTTGTCTTTCTTCCCCAGCTGATTGTAAGCTCTCTCCCTTCTACTTTGGTGGATTCCCTTCTGCTTCCTTACGATTCTTGTTTGTGTTTGCTGAGGTATTAGATCTAATATGCATAATATTTATCAGTAACTTCAACAAGAAATTTTCAGAAATTCTAATACTGACTCACCAATCAGGAAGATTATGTTAATCTTTATTTTCTGTAGTTTTTCTTAAGAAACCATTTTTTAAAAATTTTATTATTTGTGTGTGTGTGTGTGTACACCGTCAAATCAGATCTGACTGGTACAGGAGGAGATTGTCCCTCCTTCCCCGGCAGAGCATCTGGTAGATGCGAACCATGCGCCTCTGGGATTGCAGTGCAGCTTCTTGTCACTAGGCCACCAGAGCTCCCCTAGAAACCATTTTTTTTAGAAACCATTCTTTTCTTCCCATTTCCCAAAACAGAAATGACCTCAGATGTTGTGCGTTCAGTCCCAGACCACCTCAGTAAAGCCCTTGTCACACCGGAGTGAGTCACACAAACAGTGGTCTCCCCACACTTGTAAAAGTTAGATTTACACAGTGAACGTAAATGTGAAGTAGCATTATGGAGGTACGGTGAGAATTTCCCAAACAGGAGCCTGAGTTGGGGAGTAAGCACAGGGTTTTGGTAAAAATGATGCTGATCGACTTGCTCAGTGTCTAGTTGTCCTAAACCTTCAGTTTGGAAAAAGCTCAGTAGATGCAGAGTGTGATAGAGAGAGGAGCCGGGCACAGTGAAGCAAAGTGAGATAGAGGTGCCCGTGTGCCTTCCACACTGCACCTCTCCCCGTCCTCCCAGCACGTGCCTCTGTGCCCTCTCAGTCCTGAAATTCTCGTATTTGTTCCTGCCCTGAGGGAGCTGCTGGCACAACTCCTCTATGTCCTTGGTCCCTTTTACAGTTGGAGGAACCAAAGGCCATGGTCCCAGGGACCTCTCCCGTCCCTCCCCTCTTCTAAACCGCTCTGGTGGTGATGCACTCTCCCATTTTTTATCTGACAAAATAGTCTCTAAAAAGCTTGGTCCAGGCTCAAGATCATTCGGGGTAGGAGAGTTTTAAGTGTTTGGCACTTTTGTTTCCACAGAGCTGAAAAACTCCAGCTGCTGAATCACAGGCCGATGACTGCTGTTGAGATCCAGCTGGTGAGTGAGGGCCTCATCTGGGAGGACTTGTTCTGGGCCGAGTTGAGGAGAAGGTGCCAGCGCCTGAGACTGCTGCCTCCTGGGGGGACTGCCCATGCACCTCGCGTTAGGAGGAAAGGAAGAGTCAGCTCACTGGCATGGGCCTAGCTACTTGCTGTGGAGTTGGGGAAAGTAGAAGACTGGCGGGAATTGAATTCCTCCCAGGCACTGTGGGCTACTCCCCCACATGTTCCACCCCACAGTGTTCCAGGCCTTTGGCCATGGCCTCTCTGCGGGGCTCACAGCCCGCCAAGTGTTACATAAAAATGTCAGCTCCGCGAGCCTTCAGCCCTGCTCTCCAGAGCCGCCTTCTTGGTTAGTGGAGCGTGTGTCCTTCTCTCCATCTTTTTTCCCTGCAGTTGAACTTTTGATCAATGTACAGCTTACTGCAGCAATTAGAGCAGCAGGTGGTGCCATCTTTCTCTTAACCACTGACCTGTTTTTATCACTATTGACTGTTCCTTTCTCCCTCCTCCTGCCACCCCGGGTGTTAGGTGGTGCTGTGGAGTTGACTGATCCCAGCAACCCTAAGAATGACAGGTCGGAAACTTGGCCGATCCTCCGCTGTGCTTCAGCCCACTGCTGTCCATCTCATTCCGAGTCTTCCTCTCTTGCTGCCTCTCCTTTTCCAAGCCTGATGTGGTCTTTCCTTTTTCTCCTAAACACACGCGGTTCAGGCCACTGGCCCTCAGGCTCAGGTTAGAGATCATGTACTAATCAATCTGCCCACCAGGTGGCGCGATCCCTTCTCGCTGGTTATTACTCTCCTTTCTCCTCCCAGTTAGAGGCTGGGAGTTGTCCTTTGAATTCCCCCCAGGCTTCCTTCCCTGCTCTGTGGGGTGTTCCCATCCGAGCTGGCAGGCAGGGTGCAGGGGGAGGCACAGGCTGACTTTCCCTTGATTCAGGGGGAGGATGGGCTTGGAGAAGAACTGAGAGATCTGTCTTGGTGACTTTAGAGCCCCAGTGGCCCTGTGGTGGTTGGGGGACAGTCTCCACTAGCTGACCCACCTCCCAAGTTCACTGTAGGGAACCTTCTGTAGGAGTGCATGTCAGTCGAGCAGCTGACACCCCTATTGGGATGGGAGAGGTCACACTCCGTGTGGACCCCCGTGCTGGGGGTTCTGCCTGTGTCAGAGCCTGCCTTGGAGCATGTTGGCTGTTGGTGTGACTTCCACTCAAGAAGCCTGCTTCCCAGCACACAGCAGCCCTCAGCCCAGCCCATAGTCCTCAGCACCAGTTCACAGTGGGGACAGACAGACCTGGACTTAGCCCCCTCCGAGTGTCCTGTTGTTTCAGAGGCCTGAGCAGTACTGGGTGAGCAGGAGGCAGGCCAAGTGCTGACCGAGAGGGGAGGCAGGCCGAGTACTGACCGAGAGGACAGCCCTGCCGTAGTGTCTGACCACATTCTTGCAGCCAGCAATGTCGATGGGGGAGGTGCTGGCATGTCCCCCAAGAACCCCCCTGTTGACTGAGTCTCTAGTGCTGCTGTAATGGATACACCAAAGGGGGGTGGCTTTGACAAACAGGAACTCATTCTCTTACAGTTTAGGAGGCTAGAGGTCCAAATAAAGGCTGCCACACTCTAGGGGAGGATCTGCTTCCCTGTGTGTCCTGGGGAAGGGTTCCCGGGAATCAGCGGATCATTCTGCATTGCGTTACATTACATTACGTTGTCATCACCGACGTGTGTATTGAAAGGGCCCCATTTAACCCATGGCACCTGGGCCCAGGGGTTTGCTGTGTTGATTTTACAGTAGAAACTTGGAGTCTTGTCTCCTTGTCCAGGTGCTGGCTGTGGTGGCTGGAGAAGCAGTCTCCTTTTCTGGGGCTACTTCCTCATTTCACAGCAGCTGGCAGTGTGTGTGCCAAGGGGAAGGGCACAGATGGTGTGAGAAGTGATTTTCCTACCAGACATGAGTCATTGTTCCCACTAATTCCGGTGCACCCCAGTTCTGATTCCCTTGAAGCTTCTGATTAGTCCTCAGTGATCGGACCTCCACTCTGTTCTTCCCTTTCTTGGCAGAGCTGGTGCTGGCTGGTCATTCTCCACTCTGGACTCTTAGGGTGGTCCACCCCTCACCCCACCCCATATTCTCCCTGGCTCTGTCCACTCCCTGTCCCCAGCCCCACTGTGTCTCCCACCCCATACTCCTAGCGCCCTCCCTGGCCTCGCCACCGTGAAATCCCAGCCACTGTCAAAATGTGCAGTGTCCGAGCCTGGAAGGCCGCTGGCGGGTGGGCCAAGGGGACAGTGCTGTCCGCTGAGTGTCCACTAACTGAGTGTCCACTGAGGTATCCAAGCAGCTGTCCCACGGTGCCTGCCTGATGCTGGATGGACAGGAGCGTGGTCAGTCTTAGAGCAGCACTGAGGGGATGCTTACCTGCCAATCAAAGTCTCTGGCCCGGAGAATAATAAAGACATTCTCAGAGTCATTGTGGTAAATACTCAGCTCTTTGCCAGGCTTTTCTAGAAAAAGTGGAAGAGAATCGCCAGAAGTGACCTAGATAAGCTTCAGCGGTGCTTACCAAATACCCTTTATTTTAAGGTCACTGGATGTGTCACTTCTGATGCAGCTGTTCTGTCTCTTCCCAGAGCACACCCAGAATTAGATCAGGGCCATTTCTCCCACAGTGCGTGCTTTTCTGGGCAGTCGGGCTGTGGCCCACTCACCGTCCACTACCATCAGGTCGATTCTGGCTCAGGGTGGCCCCACAGGACAGGGTAGGAGTCCTTGTAGGCCCGCAGAGGCCCTTTCCCGTGTCCCCTCTGCCCCTTCGTTATGCTCATGGTGTAGACTTTGCTGAAGATTCGTCTTTGAGCGTTAAACAAATAGAACAGCTAGAACTGAATCCCTATCCCTCTGGGCCGAGTCACATGTCCTCCTCCTGCGGCTTTAATCAGCAGCATATGTTACTGTGGCCTCCGACAGATGCAGGGAAGTGATGAGGAGGGCTCGCGTGACCTCAGCCGGGGCCCGCAGTGCCCAGTGCCGTCAGCCCCTGACTAGTGCCACCTCCGTGCCCAGAGCCTTTGTGGCCAGCAGAGCCCTGGGTGCAGGTGTTCACGCAGAGGGGTAGAGCCCGGCCGTTGGGGCCTGTGTTCAGGAACCTATTCGTGTCTTTGAACACCATGCTCTTCCACGCCCTCCTCTTTCCCTCAGGAGTGAGCAGGCCTTGGTGAAAGCTCAGGGCTGCTATTCCTCAGTAGGCTGGGTGGTTCAGTGGTTACGTACTTGGCTGCTGACTAAAAGGTCAGCGGTTCAAACCCACAAACCCAGCTTCGCAAAAGACAAAGATGAGGGTCTTCTGTATAGACTAGAGCCTTGGAAACTGTCTGGCACAGTCAGTCATATGTCAACGATAGTCACCGAGCAGAAATGACTTGAGGGCAGTGTAGGCCATGTTGTCCAACATGTGGCTATTCTGAAACTAGATTTTTCCTACCTTTGGATGTGACTTTAAAAGGGAACAACTCTTTTAACATGGTCTGTGGCAATAGCCCTTCTCACCAGAAAGGACACGAGAAGCGAAGAGGTTCTAGGAGTGGAAAGTGCAAAGACCTGAGCATTTCCCTGGATTACCACACGGCCGTTTCTCCCTTGGTTCCAGGAAGGCACCCCAGGAAATGTCATTTATCAGTTGGGAGACAGGGTCTCCATGGGAGGCTGAGGAATCTCTATTTCTATCACATCCTCATCAGATGTGACTCTAATGATCCCCAGACCCTCTAGTGAAAGTCTCAGGCTGGCCGTGAGGTTCAGTGAGGCAGCCGGGCTGGGTGGCCAGCCTCGTAGCTTCTGATGGGCCCTGTGGTGTCCCCACCTGAAATGATCTGTACCACTGAAGACAGGACAGCATGCCCTGACCGTGCTGTGAACAGGCTGCACTGTCTTGAACAGGCCTGTCACTTAAGGATGAAGAAGAGTCTGGTTGTAGAGGCTCCGGGCTTTTTGAACACGGCCGGGTTTGTTCTCACTTGGTCCCAACGTAGACACGACTTTGCTTTTGCATGTAAGAAAACGGAAATGTGGGGCTGTTCCATGAGCTGGTCTCAGTGAGACCACCAGGACGGTCCGGGATTGCTGTTCGGCATTAGGTCCAGTTGTTTGGAGGCCAGCAGCACCAACAACTACGTGGAGCTCAAAAGAGAAACAGCCAGTGTTGGAGCTCACAGCCCCGGGCCCTGGTGTAATCTCTGAGTGAGGTCAGAGTCTGTCATTGATGCTGATTTCTCTCGAATTTGGTGGGTATTTTTGTTGTTTCGTTTGCTCTCACATTCTGAATAGCTGAGAACCTTCACTGTCTCGGGAATGGGACAGGTTCTGGCCTGGCCTTTGTGGGGCTTCTTTGCTCCTGTGTTGAGCATGAGACAGTGAGGTTTCACGTGGTGATGTTGTGGTCTGTATTGAGCATGAGAAGATGAAGATAATGCAGTCATCCTCACCTGCCCTGGGGATCCAGGGGCCCTGGTGGTGTAGTGGTTAAAACACTTGACTGCTCACCTTGAGGTTGGAGGTTCAAAGCCACCAGCTGCTCTGAAGGAGTCGGGTGAGGCAGGGGTCTCCCCTTCAGGTTACAGTCGTGGAAGCCTATGCTGCAGTTCTCCTCTATCCCTCCAGGGGCGCTGTGAGACGGAATCTGTTCAACATGGATTTTTTTAATTTGTTTTCTGGTGATCTGAGAGGGGTTAAAAAGATTTTGGGTTCTGGCAGTGTATGGTTTATTTTTCCCTTTGGTCTAACGAAGCCTAAACATTCTTCGTGTAACTGAAAATTTCAGGTTGGAGGAAAAATTTCTGACAATAATTAGCCCTGAGAATCAAGTGCTGGTAAAATTCCTGCTAGAACGTTTGGCCGAATGAGAAGACTCACCCTCAGGAAGGTGGCCTGTGGTTTCCTGCACTAGAGGCCCTTCAGAAACGAGGGAGCCCCGTGGTTCTGTCCGCTGCACAGCGTCACTGAGAGAGGACAGGGAGTCAGTGACTCCTAGTCACGAGGCTTGTAGAAAACGGAGGATATTTTCTTAAATGGTGTGGTGAGAATCTCCATAGCAAAGGATCCCTCATCTCTGTTTTCATCCTGTACACTTCAGTGACGGTCATGCCCATTCTGTCATCTTCCAAATCACCCCACCACCAGGAACCCAGTGCCCCAAAATCGGTGCCTCCCACCCACCTGGTAACGATTAGTTCGTTTTTTGTGTCTGTTTCCTTATTTCACATGGGCTCTTCCAATATTTGTCCTTCTGCAAGTGACTTTTTTAAAAGACAGTTTGGAGTTTAAATTCAGAATTGCTGGCACCTCCTCGCCCTGAGAACCCGCTCGCGTTCTGCTCACGTGTATGGTGTCCCGCCTCTCTGGGCCCGGGTCTGGAGACTCTCCTGTGATGGTGGTTCTGAGGAGGCCCACCTTAAACTGTGGAGCCTGACCGAGCTGTTAGGGCTCTAGAACTCCTCACCCTCTCCCTCAGTGTATTTCTCCTCATATAACGCGCCCACATAAATTATGCATTGTACGCAGAAGAAACTTAAGTATAGAGGTTGCATGGTTTACAAACTGTAACACGCGTGATGGCATACAAATGCAGTAGTTCATCAGCTGCTACACGTCCTGCCCTGGTTATTTATAAACTTTGAGACATTGTGTTCGCCAGTGGAGGTCCTCATTCTCTGGGTCCTGAATTCCCCCTCCTTCCTTTTCCTCCAGACCCTGGGGACAGTCTTTGGCAGGCATTTTACAGTCCCTAATTTGTCAGATATGACCAAAGATGGGGGGGTTTGATTATTGTCACCTTTCACTGAGCCCATCAAATGGTTATAAAGGGATTGTGTTGTATTACAGCATGACGGGAAACGGCCCCCGTGGCTTTCCCACCCTGAAACAGTCTGGATCTCTGGCTGTGACTGAGGTGGTTGAGGTGCTGGCATTTTGTCAGGAGTTTGCAGCATGATCCCGGGTATGTCACCTGCTTTCTCTAACCTCAGCATGCCATTATAAGGCTGGGAGGTCAGACACGTCTTTGTGGCCTTGTCGGTCCAGCTCATCTTTATTGCCCTCACTTTACCAAAGCCTATAAGGTTTCTTTCTGGAACTTCTTCTGGGCTGAGCTGCCAGACTGATACAAGACATGCCATGGAGTAAGGCACCAGGCCCTTTGAGCTGAGAGTTTAGTTGTTTGTGATTTGTAGTTAAGGCCACCAAGAGAGTAAGGTTAGGGCTCTGCCTGTCCGCAGACTGTCATAAGAAGTGTGCTGTCAGTGAAACCTGTGAGAGCAGGAGCTGGGTGGGCTGCCTCCGCTTTCGGGGTCTCCCATGTTTTCCTCCTTTGAACATGGTACAGCCCCCGCTTCCTGTCAGGCTCTGCCAAGTGATGGGAAACGTCTGGACTGACGTGCTGCTTTGTGCCTTGGACAGGTTCTAACTTTCACAGGTTTTACTGTATGTTGATTACCTGCCTCCCTAAAATCCCTTGAGCGGTTGACTGCATTGTGTCTTGAGTTCATCTAGACAGAATTAATGCCGAGGCTGGGACTACTGGTCCTTGGATGGGGAAGAAAGAGATGGATCAGTGTCTTCGTATGGCTTCAAATGTCCCTCTGATGAGGCAATGGAGTGGATGGCTCCAAAGGCCACCCTCCCTCATTGGGCCACTCTCCTGCACCCTAGAAGGTCAAAGCCATGTAGTTTGAGTGTTAGCATGAGACAGAGGTGGTTTTGAATTTAATTCTGCCCCCTTGAAGGGGTGGTGGTGGTGGTTAGGGCAGTCAAGTCACCTGCGACTCCTAGCGACTCTATGTACAACAGCCCTAAACCCTGCTCTATCCTGAGCCAATCTTATTGTCTCTTATACACCTACCCACATTACCCCAGTCACTGAATCAATACTCATTGAGGGTCTTCCACTCCTGCACTGTCCCTCCACCCTCCCAAGCATGACGTCCCTCTCCAAGGACTGATCCTGCCTTGCAGCATGTCCAAAGTATGTCAGATAAAGCTTCAGAATTCTTGCCTCCAGGAAGCAGTCTGGCTTCACTCTATCCAGGATCAACTTATTTGTTCTCCTAGCTTTCTATGATATATTCAATTCTCTTCTCCAGCATCACAGCTCAAAGGCATCAACTCTTCTTCTATCATCCCTAGTCATTGTCCAGCTCTCTGATGTATAGCAATTAATTGCAAAGACCAAGGCCTGGATCAGGTGCGTCTTAGTCTCCAGACTGACATAATTTCTCTTCAGTACTTTGGAGAGGTTGCTGACTGCAGACTTCCCAATGCAATTCGCCTTTTAATTTCCAGGCTGCTGGTACCGGGAGTGTTGATTGTAGAGCCAAGCAAACTAAAGCTTGTTAACTATCTCAATGTCTTCACCATCCATCACAATGCTGCCAGTCAGCCCAGTGGTGAGAATCTCTGTTTTCTTGATGTTGGGTTTCAGTCCTTATTGAAGGCTACAGTCCTTGACCCTCTGCAGAAAATGTTTCAGGTCCTCCTCAATTTCAGCAAGCAGGGTTGTGTCATCTGCCTAATGCAGATTGTTGATGAGCCTATCTCCAATCCTGATGCCACATTTCTCCACATAGAGCCCAGCCTCCCAGATAATCTGTTCTGCATATAGATTAAAAAGATATGGAGATATAAGACACATTCTTGGCGCACACCCTTCCCAATTTTGAACCATGCAGTATTTCCTTGCTCTGTTCTGACAACTGCCTCCTGGTTTAAGTTTAGGTTTCACATAAAAGCACAATCAAGTGTTCTGGGATTCCCATTCTTCTCAGAGTCAGCCATAGTTTGTTATGATCTACACAGTCAAATGCCTTTTCATAGTCAATGAAACACAGATAGACATTCCTCTGGTGCTCTCTCCTTTCTGCCAAGATCCATCTTATGTCAGCTATAATATCCCTAGTACCACGACCCCTTCTAAACCCAGCCTGCACTTCACGCAGTTTTCTGTTGATTGCTATTCCAGTCTTTTTTGGATAATCTTCAGCAGAATCTTGCTTGCAAGTGATATCAATGATATTTTTCAATAATTTCCACACTCTGTCAATCACCTTTGGTTCCAAAGTGCAAGGCGGCCCCAAGCATGCAGGCAGGCCTCCCCCAGGGCTGTCAACTGAGCTGGGGGTGGGGAGGATTAAGCAGACACACCACCGTCTGGCACATCCAGGACAGTAATCACAGGAATGTTGATTTTTAACTTTATTGTGATTTTAATGACGTTTACAGAGCAAATTCCTTTTCCACTCAGAAATTTATACATGCTTTTATTTTGTGACATTAGTCACAGTCTCCACACAGTAACAGCCCTCTTCTCACTTCTTCCCAGCATTTCCCCTTTCCTTTCACCCTTCTCCACGGTCCCTCTGAGCTTCTGTTTTTTATCTCCTGACATAGACTGCTACCCTTTTGATCTCATTTGGTTGAATGGTTCCTCCCTCATGTTACTGTTCTCCTTAGAAACCTGTCTCATTTGCTGAAAGTCGAGTGAGTCCAGTTCCAGACTTGAAGGGAGACGAAAGGCTAGTCTCGGGGCTCCCCAGTCTCTGTCGGACCATCTCGTGGGTTGCTGATACTGTTTGTAAAGTTATAGATGTTTGTGTTAAAATATGAGTGTGGACAGGGCAGCTTCCCTCTGCAAGTTGTCGTGGGGAATAGGTCCCTTAGTGTTTCTTTGTTCTTGAAATAAAAAGAGGTTCACCCTGTGCATGCCAGCCTGCAGTAGGTGGTTGCCACTGACCTGTTGTGAGCTCGTCCTGGGGTGGGAGTCGGCCTTGCCTTCTGTGGGGCCAGATGGCCAGGCTTACAGAGCTCAGCTGGCCAGGCCACGCCTCCACAGTGAGGAGGTGCGGGACAGAGCTGGACCAGGCCCAAGGGTGCACCTGACCCCGGGCTTCTCTCCTGCAGATCGTGGAGGAGAGCGAGGAGCGGCTCTCAGAGGAGCAGATTGAGGCCCTGCTCCACACCGTCACCAGCATCCTGCCCGCTGAGCCCGAGGCCGAGGAGCAGAGAGGCACCGAAGACGCGCCCATGGACGACGAGGACCTGGCATAGGCGAGCCAGCCGCTTCCAGGACATGCTTCTTCATCCTGACCTACAGATTCCACACAATTCACCTTTCTCGAACAAAAGCAGCAAAAGAAGACTTGGGACCCTAAGTGAAGACAGGGTGGGAGCTGGAACAGGGACAGCCGTGATGTGGGGGACCCTCAGGGGAAAAGCGGTTTCTCTGTGGCCTTTGCTGCCCTGTGGGGAGGACGTACACAGTGGGCAGCATCCTCCGGTTTCCTTTGATGGCCTGTGCCCTAATTAGTTTCATCTGCTTTGGGATTTGCTTTCCCAAATCCCAAGCTGTGGCTCAGACTCTGCTAGTATTAAGCTAGATTATGAGAATCCAGTTTATCAGTTCAAAACTCCTAGAGCAGTGGAGCAGCTTGGCTGCGGGGAGCTGCTGGACTGCACGCCGGAGCCTCTTCCTTGAAAGCAGAGATAAGGACAGACAGATGGCCACCCTTGCTGTGTGGGGACATGTTGGGTAGCCTCAGCTCACTGGGCAGCAGCTCACGCCAGACGTAAAGGCACTTCAGGCTGAATGACAGTGGCCCTGAAATACTTGGTACTGTGTTGAAGACCTCTCTGACAGACCTCCACTTCCTGGAGTCCAGAACCCTGACCAGGCAAGGTCATTTGCACAATGGCAGACCCTCTGTATGTTAAAGTAACACCCCCAGGACAAAGCCCTTTTCATAGAACATATCTGGGGGTCAGCACTTGATTGCAGAACCCTGGTGGCATAGGGCTTTTAACTGAAGGGTTAGCAGTTCAAACCCTCTAGCTGCCCCATGGCAGTCTGCTTCCATAAAGATCACAGCCTTGGAAACCCAGGGGGGCAGTTCTCCTCTGTCCTACAAGGGCGTTCTGCGTTGGAATCAACCCAACGGCATGGGTTTACAGTAAGTATTTTCATCTGCTGGTGGTCACAGGGTGCTATCAGTTTTTAAGAGTGAATATTCATTACCACGCGAAGAGCTGGTCTTTATTCAGGCTGTGGGAGGCTAAGGAGCTGCAGGCATGTCCCCTGAAGACTGCTGGAAATCCCCTAATTCAGTGCTCTGTTCCCCATTTGAGGAAGAAAGTGCCCAAGGCATCTCTTGTGAGATCATATTTTCAGTTCTACTGCTAATTGGATCACTCTCCCTGTAATACTGAGGTTATTTCAGATCAGCGCCCCTCCTCCTCCCTTGTATGTGACTGTGCCACGTGGGTCTCAGCTTCCTCAGATTACTACAGGCAGCGTGGGACTCCAGGAACTCTGATTTGAAGTCTCTGTGGAGTATTTCACACTGGACATGTTGGTGTATCAAGGCGCCTGCATCACTGTTGTCTCATTTTAACCCTACACATGATAGGCGTTTTTCCTCAATGAATTTGGGGCTTAATCTGGCTCATAATTGTTTCCAGGTGACTCTGTTTCTAGTCGCCTCCTAACTTGGGCCATGTAACAAGCTTTTGAGGAGCCTGTCTTACCAGGGACAAAGAAAAATAAAGTCTAACCCAAAGGCTGAACTCTGCACTTGTTGTTGCTTTAAAGGTTGACCGTTTAGGTCTGGATTCTATATTGAATTAAAAAAAAATTTCAGCTTCTATAACTGAGACCCAAGTTAGCCTGAGTTTTTTTAATGAAGTAGCCAAACTCTGGAACAGTTTACCTTTATGAAAAACCATTTTGCGTAACTCTGCTGAACCATCAGTAATAAACATTTCAGAAATAAAAATCTGTTTCCATATGACATAATGGCAGTCTGGTAACAGCCCTATCCAAAGGGTGCCTCTTGATTTGTTTCCAGGTTCTGAATGAGCACAATTACAGTTAAGTGCTCTGGAATTCCCATTCTTTGCAGCATTACCTATAATTTGTAATAACCCAAACATAGTCTTTAATGGAGATCTAGTGCACATATAACATTCTTCATATTAAAAGTGTAAAATTAAGTGGTTTCAATTCCAGAACATTTGCATCATGACAAAAACAAATCTTTTGTCCATTGTTGTTATGTGCCATCGAGGCTCCTTTGACCCATTGCTACACTATGTACATTAGCTCTGAACCCTGCCATGTCCTGAAACAATCTCATGATCTCCGACAGACCTAATCCTGTTTCTCCAGCCACTGAGTCAATCTTTCTCATGCAGGGTCTTCTGTGCTGTCCCTCCACCCATCCAAGCATGATGTTCTCCAAGGACTGGTCCCTCCTGGCCACATGCTCAAAGTATGTGAGACAGGTCTTCAAAATCCTTGCCTTCAGGGAGCAACTTGGCTTCACCCTCTCCAGAACAGACCTATTTGTTCTGAAGTCCACTGAACACTTCTCTAGCACTACAACTCAAAGGCATCGATCCTTCTATCATCCTTAGTTATTGTCCAGCTCTCCGATGCATAGCAAGTAATTGCAAAGACCATAGCCTGTATCAGGAGGACCAAGTCTCCAGACTGACATCATTGCTCTTCAGTACTCTAGAGAGGTCCCTGACAGCACTTTACCAGTGCAGTTTGTCTTCTGATTTCCTGACTGCTGCCAAGAATGTGGATTGTGGAACTGTGCAAGCTGAATTTTTAAAAAATCTGACATTTTTAACAATCTGAATCTCTTCCCTGTCATGAAGCTGCCAGTTGGCCCAGTGGTTGAGAATCTTTGTCTTGATGTTGAGCTTCAATCTATATTGAAGACTTAGTCCTTGACCTTCTGCAGCAGACACCTCATGTTCTCTGTTTCAGCAAGCAAGGCTGTGTCACCTGCATAACACAGGTTGTTGATGAGTCTTCATCCTGATGCTGCATTCCTCTTTAAAAAGTCTAGTCTCCCGAGTGATCTGTTCTGATATAGATTGAAATGCACATCTCTCCTGATCCTGAAACATGCATTGTTTCTCTGTTCTGACTACTGCCTACTTGTCCAAGAATAGATTTTGCATGAACACAATTACATGTTCTGGGATTCCCATTCTTCTCAAGGTTAGCCACAATTTGTTGTGATCTACACAGTCAAATGCCTTTGCATGGGCAAAGAAACGCAGACATTCCTCTGATACCCTCTGCTTTCAGCCAAGATCCATCTAACATTGGCTATGTCCCTGGTGCCATGGTCACTTCTAAACCCAACTTGCACATCTGCCAGTTTCTGCTAATGTACTGTTTCAGTCACTTTTGGATAATTTGTTTGCAGCAGGATCTTGCTTGCCTATGATATTAGAGTTTTCGTGAATTTCCACACTCTGCGGGGTCACCTTATTTTGGAATGGAAATAAAGATATTTTTTTTCCTAGTCATTTGGCCAGGTAGTTGTCCTCCAGATTTCTTGGCATAACCTGGTGAGCAGGTCCAGGGCAACATCTTGTTTGCTGAAATATGCCTTTTGACATGCCATCAATTCCTGGGGCCTTCCTTGCTTTTTGCCAATTCCTTCAGAGCAGCTTGAGCCTTCTCCATCACTATTGCCTCTTTTTCCATTAGCAATCCCCCTTCTTTTCCCTGCCCCATCGCAACCAGTGACCTAATTTGTAATCCACTTCATTGCTTTATTCGAAGTGCTAAGCAGTTGCACTCTTAAGCAAAAGGTACACAGTTCAAGTCCACCAGCTGCTTCACAGAAAACAATCTCCTCCCGTGCCCTTTACCGCTGACCCGTCAGAGTGGTCAGTTGTCACTTCTGACTCATCAGTACGCAACATTCTAGACTTGACATCAGAGTAGCATCATCCACTATGTGACCACCTGTGACCGGCTTCCCATCACCGTGGGGTCCCCGTGTTATCACTGAATAATGCTGCACTGTGTGTATATACGATGTGTTGGTGTAGGTAACAAAAGAAAGCGGTCTCCGGCCCCTCTTTCGCCAGTCCCGCCTTTTCCCGCCCTTCTCCCCCTGGGCGGGATCTGAGCCCCGCGAGCGCCGGCTTCCCAGCTCCGGGCAGCGCAGGCGGGCGGAAGTGGCCGGGTTTCACGCCGCCGTAAAGCGCGCCCGGCAGGCTCCCTTTCCGGTTCGCGACACCAGCTGCGACCGCCGGCGCCGGCTTCCTCGTGTGCGCTTGTCTGCTGCGAGCTCTTGACGCCGATTTACTGCTCACCCGGGCCCTTCCCTGTCGCCGCCGCCTCCACCTCGCAACGGATCATGTTCAAGAAATTCGACGAGAAAGAAAACGTGTCCAACTGCATCCAGCTGAAGACCTCCGTTATTAAGGGCATTAAGAACCAGCTGATAGAGCAATTTGCAGGTATTGAACCGTGGCTTAATCAAATCATGCCCAAGAAAGACCCCGTCAAAATAGTTCGATGCCATGAACATATAGAAATCCTTACAGTAAATGGGGAGTTACTGTTTTTCAGGCAAAGGGAAGGGCCTTTCTATCCAACGCTAAGATTGCTTCACAAATACCCTTTTATCCTGCCCCACCAGCAGGTTGATAAAGGAGCCATCAAGTTTGTTCTGAGTGGAGCAAATATCATGTGTCCAGGCCTTACGTCTCGGGGAGCTAAGCTTTACCCTGCTGCCGTGGACACGGTCGTCGCCATCATGGCGGAAGGGAAGCAGCATGCCCTGTGTGTGGGCGTCATGAAGATGTCTGCAGAAGACATCGAGCAGGTCAACAAAGGCATTGGCATCGAGAATATCCACTACTTAAACGACGGGCTGTGGCATATGAAGATGTATAAATGAGCCCCGCGGGCAAACGTTGGATACTGTGCTGTAACTCTGTGTGTGTCTGTATATGACAGCATGAAGACGATGTTTCTGATTATGCGGACTAAATTCAACAGAAACTTAAAATTTAAAAAAATGGAATACAGAGTAACTGTACCAAAAAAGAATTGGTTGACTGTTCAGCGATTTCTGGAAGTACCGTATAATCAACAGGTGATGGTATCAAAGGAAGAAGACCCCAACCTACCTTGGAGACACATACAAGGCTTTGGGAATTGGTGGAGTACCAGCTGGAATGTTTGGACATGCAGATGGCAGAGCTGGAAGCTCTTGTTCATCTTTGCCCAGAAATTTGAAAGACTGTTACCTGGTGGGCCAGAAAAGGTTCATATTTCTGCCTCTTCCAAAGAAAGATGTCCCAGCTAATTGCAGGGATTAATAAACTCAATACTATCACACACAAGTAAAATTGTGCTGAAGAGAATTTTTTAAAAACGGTCACAGTCATGTTGTATTGGGAGGGTGTGATGGGTGTGGAAATTGTTTACTGAGGCTGTATTCGCAGGGAGGGGTCTCCAGTGCTGAAGTCTTCAGGTAGTTTTACAGTTAAAGGCAGGATGGGTGTGGGAATTGTTTACTGAAACTGTACTCGCAGGAGGTTGTACTTTAAATGCTAAGGCGGCACCTCAGGTTTGAATCCACCCCAGGCTCTAAGAGTAAAGTTTCAGCAGTGCCCTCCTGTGCTGTTAACTGCCTTGGAGAAACCTCTGGATGGTCAGTGATTCTGACTTAGTGAGGTTTTTTTTTTGGTTTTTTTACATTTATTTTTATTATTTGTGTGCATGTACCAACAAATCTGATCTAACTGATACAGGAGGAGATTGCCCCTCCTTTTCCGGAAGAGCTTCTGGTGGATTTGAACCGCGTATTTCTGGGATTGCAGTGCAGCTTCTTGCCACTAGACCACCAGAGCTCCCCGTGAGTTTGAGTTTGGAGATACTCGCAGGAGATATTCGTTGGATAGAAAAAATGATTTGAGAGAGGAAGATGGAAGCTGGTCCCAAGAAACAGGCCCTTATAGAGTGGTCTGAGCAGGACGCCAGATGACCACTTGCAGAGAGGATCAGAGTGGCGTGTACAGACAAGGACAGTTTCCTTTTAAGGGGCTTTTAGGGAGACTTAGGGTAGTAGTGTTAACCAACAAAACAGCTCGTATGACTTAACAGTGTTTTTAATTTATTTTGTTGAGAATATACATAGCAATGAGTTTGAGATAATTACGAGATGTTAGCCAAGAAATCTCTCTTGTGTGATACAGACAATTGGTATTTTTTTTCATTTATTTTCTTGTTAAGGATATACATAGCAAAACACCAAATTCTAGTCAGTAATACATAGTTAAGTGATACTGATAGTAGTCTTCTCCAAGTTGGATTTTCTCATCCTGTTACTCCAAGTTACCATTGCCATTTAAAGTTCTTGTCTAAATTTTCAAATTGTGGTAAATGCATACAAATAGTTTTTAAAAGAGGGTAATACTCCAGGCAGACATTTTTAACTAGTTAATGCTAATTTTTTAAAAAAATATGGAACACTTCACGAATTTGCATGTCACCTTGCACAGAGGCCATGCTAATCTCGGTTTCGTTCCAGTTTTAGTATATGTGCTGCTGAAGCTAGCAGTAAGAACTGTTGTTATGTGCTGTTGAGTTGTAGATGACTCATAGTTACGCTTTATTATTGTTCCATTTTAAGAAGACTTCAGGGCATAGTTTGTTCCCCTGAGGATTTTTCTGTAAAAATTATCAGAGGTCTTGAGGTTGAAATAATTGGAACGTTTATTAGAAAACAGATTGTGTACATGAATGAATTATGAGAATGAGGAGGCCTAAATCTTTGCCATGTACACCTTTTTGTCCCAAATGGTTGCACCATCCTGACTTCTCTGGAAATCACTTTATGATGTTTGTCTTCTAGCAGCAACTCTAAATGTCTCCTCTGAGCCCAGATGTAGATGTAGTTCCAAACCCCAGGAGTTAGATCACTTGCTACAGGTTGAAGGGCATAGGCCTCAAGTCAGCAGATCACAAAGTGGTAACAATTGAGGTGTTTTCTAGATGATTCTGACCCAGCATAACCCATCAGAACAGTAGGACTGTCCTGTAGGATTTTAAAGGCTGTTCTCTGCAGGGACAGATTGCCAGGTCTTTATCCCACCAACTTCCTATTGTACTGAATTTAATTTTTATCTTCACTCTATCAGTGTTCCCATTTCTTAATAACCACCCAAAGATTTCCACACTGCTGAGAAAAGTCCATTGAGTATTGTGTCCTGTCAAAGTTTATCAATAACTGCTTTAAAAGCCCACCTAGCTGGGAAAAGTTTCTCCTCTTTCTCTGAAATGAGGCCACCATCTTTTTTAGGTATTGATTGAGCATAATGGTCCCTCTGGAAAGGATTCTTAAGCCCATGGCTGCCCCTCTGTCCGGCCAGAATCTAAACATAGCCAACCGTCAAGACGCATTCCTTTGGGGGAGAGACCTTGAGACTAAAATCTACTTCAGACTGGCCAGTGTCTAAATTTGGGGCCTCCCACTTCATTTTAGGTATTTCAGTAACCAAGGGCATTGTAAAATTCGCCCTTGTTACTTTGCATTTCCTGTTACACATCCAGCGAAGTAGACTCAAGAGTTAGGACCACCATCTCTGAATTCTATCAGTCATTTCCATCCTTGTTTCTATGTGCTATCAAGTCGCAACTCATAGTGACCCTATATACAACAGCCCTAAACCCTGCTCTCTCCCTTCCCAATCTTACTGTCTCCTACATGCATGTCCCCATTACCCCAGTGATGGAATCAATTTATCCATCGAGGCTCTTCTCTGTACTTCCTACCATGGGTAATTCTATCCAGAATCCTAGAGTTCTTTTTCATTCTTTCATTATTTCTTTCTCTGTACTTCCTACCATGGGTAATTCTATCCAGAATCCTAGAGTTCTTTTTCATTCTTTCATTATTTCTCTTCAAAACCACCTGTTTTCTTGAGTCTGAGTCCTAGCTAATCCCACTTCCGATACCACCTGTGTGGTTCGTGGGCGCTGTCGAGTCAACCACAACTCAGTGATACTGTGGAACAAAGGATCTGTTTCCTATCCTGTGTCATCCTCATCATTGCTGATACACTTGAGGCCATCTTGTTGAGGGTCTTCCTCCCTTTCACTGACCAACCCTGCTAAGCATGATGTTCTTTTCCAAGAACCGGCCCCTCCTAATAGCATACCCAGAGTTTGTGAGATGAAACTTCATCCTTTTCTCCACCAAGCACCCAGGACATAATCTGTTCCTTTGCCAGACCATGAGATACTCAGCACTCGTCTTCAATACCACAGCTTAAAGGCATCAATTCTTCTGTCATCCTGACTCATGGTCCTTATACGTGTCTTTATGGTGAGCTATGTTTAGAATCTGAGCTGAGGTGCCTAACAAGTCAGGCTCCCGTTTGACTTCTCCGGCACCAGCTGTATAGAGGAGAAATCTCAGAATCCCACTCTTCCAACATCAACTACGCATATGTCCCAAATGCGCACTGTCTTCTGTTCAGATCTGACACCGGCTGCCCAGTGCTATTTCTTTCTTTGAGGTTAGCCACTCTGCACTGCTCAGATCTCACAAGTTGAAAGGATACCATCCTTCAGACCTTGATGTCTTCAGAGTGGAGCTGGTGAAGAATACTGATGATGTGCTTTAGACAGCCAGACCAACAAATGGGGCTTGGAGGAAGTGCAGTCAGTATGCGCCTTAGGAGGTCTGGTCGGTTTGGACGTGTTGGAGGGGACTGGTCTTTATGGAAGGATAATCATGTGGTGAAGTCAGAAAAAGGCCCTTGGTGGGCTGGCCTCTCGCAGTGGTGGTAACAGTGGGCTCAGGAGCCGCAGAAGTGGAGAGGATGATACGAGGCCAGACAATTCGATTCTGTTCTTCGGGTTGCTGTGGATTTGAACTGACAGAACTAACTACATCCTAAAGGCCTTCATACAGGCAAATGCAGCTGTAACTTGGGGAGCCCATACAACACCCTCACATTTTGCAGATGCTGCGGTTTTTACAAATCGTAGTTTGGTGGCAACCATGTATTAAGCAAATCTGTTGGTATCGTTTTCCCAACTAGCATGTATTTGTGTCATCTCTGCCTGGTTTTGACCATTCACACGCTATTTCTCACCGACAGTTAACTTTTATATGCACTGAGGAACCAAGACAAAAAAATGCATGTGACTCACTTTATTTTGCTGTTTTCCTTTGCTGTGGTAGGCAGGAGCTGAATGCTTTGTCCCTCCAAGGTCTACCTGGACTCCTAGCCGATGAGCCGGGCAGGTAAAATGTGCTTGGAGCATCAGAGGTGCAGGCAGTGGAGGTGCTGAGGGCCTGACATGCAGCTGGAGGGAGGGTGACCATCCCTCCTGAGTTCTGATGCAGGAGAACACCCATGACTAAAGTCGCTGCTGGCATTTACGTCCATCTCCAGCCATGGGCCAATCTCCATACACAGGCTACTCTAAGCCCTGGGAATCTCCAAACATAGGTTCAGGATTGGCCGGCCCAGCACCACATGATTTTAATTTCTTGGCATTGATTTCTTGGCTCTGGTCATACCTGATCTCCCTCCCGTGACCTTGCCTGCATCTGGGGGCCTCCATTCTCTCCCAGCGTCTGAGCCATGGCTCCTCTCCAGCATTTCTGGCTCAGCAGGCCTTGGCCTGCAGCTGATTTCTGAGCCTCCCTGTGACTCAAGGCTCTGGACTCAGCCCAGGAATCCACCCAGCCTGTGTTCTGGTCTCCCCAGTTAAGGCCCCACAAAGTGGATGGAGAATCAGGTTATCTCATGAGGACCTTCCACCCGCATCTGCCCTGTGAAAGGACATCTTAGAGCGTCTGATTCTGTAAGCCCAGGTACTGGCCAATCTGAGCCTTCAGGGTGATGTGGACAGTCTGGGAGCTGCAAATGGGATTGG